GGGGGGGAAAAACAACAACCAACCAAACAAAAAAGGAGCTGTAAGAGATGCTTTTCATCTAATTTCAAGTTGATGTATTGTTAAGAGATTGTTAAAATAAAATCAGAGTGCTGATATGAAGTAACACCTGAGTGGGACTGACTCAGAGGAAAAGAAGGGCTTTTTTCCACTCCAGATAACTAAGCACCAGATCATGCAAAGTCCAAAGCAGTGACCAAGGAAGCAATACTGTTCTGGTTGGTTCCATTTACAGCAGGACAGGACCTTCTCAGGAGAGCTCTGATCAGATTCAGCCCAAAGTCCTATCAATTGTAACAGGAACCCCACCATTTTGCAGTCCAGGAATGAGAGTTTTGTCTGAGGAGGGCATGCTGAAAAGGGCACAAAAAAGGCAAACTCTAAGTGTTCTTGCACTGCCTGATTAATAGAATCTTAATAAACATCACACATGTGTACGCTTCTATTAAATGTTAAAGGTCTGTAAGGCACCATACAAAGACAATGCAGTACCATCTAGCATTAGTTTAGGATGGACATGTGTCTGTTTTCTTTACTCAAGGTGTGATACAGCTATGAGGGAAAGCTGGGGTTAAAGTAGATTATCTTAGGGACACAAAAACTGCAGCAACTTAGATCAGTTGATGAAATGGGTTACAGAGTAGAAAATCACTGAGGAAGGCCAGAGATGAGTACAGAGGACAAGGCATGAACTGGGTGGTACAGAGGAATGGAAAAGGTGGGGAAAAACTTGAGCCCTCCTTTCAAGTGTCAAAGACATCATGTACCTCGTATGTTGTCAAGAGTGCATGGAAGTGAGATTGCTCTTTCAGGTTCTGCTGCAGTTTGGGTCGTTCCTCCTTGCTGCCTATGTATGTCACAAAGGAAAGACCTGGAGCAAACCTGTTGTCAAGAGAAAGACAGAGAAAAAGCAGTGAGCCAAGCTAAGTCTTTCATGTGTTTATGACCCTGGACCCCATTATCAAACATAGCTACTGCACAGATAACGAGAACCTCCTATCCAAACACCCTACCCTCCTGTGAGATGTGGCTGGATCTCACTTCTGAATCTAACCCTTTCCTGATTAATTTGCATCTCAGGTTGGCACCTCAGCTGCTGGTTCTGGTTTGGACAAGTACCAAATAAACTGCGCTCTCCTAGGTCTCAAAGTCCAAGGCAGATGATTGAAAACCAGTCTCATGGCCCATCTGCCATTCTGAACTGGAAAAAGCTCATGAGAAGCAGGTGAATGAATACAGTTTGCCCAGTTGGGACCAAAGAATTGGCCTAAATCATGCTAAAATAAAGGCAAACAATGTCTGCAGCAAACAGGTCCAAGCCAGGGCCTCAAAAATCTATCCTCTTAGTCAAAAAGCAGATAAAACCAGTTCCATGGAGGAAGAGTTGGGACCATAAAATTCTTCCACATTTAATTCCACCACTGATATTTGCCCAATGTTCCTCCTGGATATCTGTTCACTGCTGATTTATGAAGGGATGCACCTTCCCCAACTATTCCAACCAGAAGTGTATCTAGATCAGGCCAGCTCACTTCAGAATGTAACCTGGATGACTTCAGACACTGAGAGACAGCATTGCCTGACAGCCACATAGACAGACTTCTGTTCTAATCTTAAACTTTCTGCCCTTCCTCTTAAAAGGAATGTTTGGGCTCCAGCTTAAAAATGTATATTCCAGGCACGCAAATGTGCCATCAGCACAGTCACTGCACACCAGTGAAGACGGGTTGCATGCACAGATGTATTTTGCATGCATATGTGAGCATGCCAAGAAAGATACTATTGGGTAAGACTTGGGTCTTACCTTTCATCATACAGAATCCTGGCTGTCTTCTGCAGATTTTGCCTAAGAGAGGCTGAGCATGGAGGGTTACAAAACAAAAAAAAGCAAGGAGCTAGTGGGGGCATTTGTACTGAAAGTCAGCCAATACTATAAGTTGGATGAATTAATGTATACCACAGCATTGTAAAGCCTACACATTAACTGCAAGTGGTGTTTGATCTGTAGTTTCAGTAGCTTACCTTTTTTACTTTTTTTCCTTTTGAAAGGATGAAAACTGTTGGGCTGAGCCCATTTGAAGAGAATCTTTGTAACTTGCTGTACAAGAATATGATGAGCTGGACAACTGTTGAAACTTACCTCTCCAGTTCCTCCTTCCAGTTGCTCAGAACAGACAGAGGACAAAGTATCAGAAATCTCTCTTTGTTCGTTAATTTTTTTGTCAAATAAAGAAGTAGAGAAATAGTCTAGAAGGCAAGGAAAATATTTTTTTTATAATAAGAAAAGGGTTAAACCCAATAGCCTGAACCTACATAAACTGTCTACCTCTTGAGCTTTGTAGCTGGTTCCCACAGGTTCTCTAGCACAAAGCAGAGCTAAGAGAATGTCAGGTGAGATCCACCATCAATGACAAAAAAAGCTTAGATCCCAAAATGTGACCTTGATATCTGGAGCCCCTTTCCAAAGGCCTTTCTCCACAGTCACAAAAAAGAATATCTATCATACATCACTTTCTAAAACTACCCGTTTGTTATTTAAGACCCATTAATACCACCAGCTGAACCAAAGCACAAACATTCATTTTCCAACAAAACTGAAACCCATTTAAAAACTTACCAAAAAAACCCCAAGGAGCACTGAAAAACTTACACCTGTAAATTTTAATCCATGTGTTAACAAACCCAAAAATCATCTTGCTGCAGGTGCATCAAACGACATCATTCCCTCTGTACTGGCTGTGTATTGTCCCTTCAACTCTTTGTGCTATGAATTACACATTCAGATGTCTGTGTAAAATGACCACTCATCTTTTTACAAAACCCTGAAACCTTTTGGAGTGTCACTCAGGACCTAACAGGGGTTTTAAGTGATTAAGGAATGAAAGAAACAATGAGCTCTCTCTTTTGAGTATGGACTTCAGGATGGGGCTGCTTAACCAACCAATCATTAGGGTGATTTTCTTTACATTCTGCAGAAACATTGGGCTAAATTAGGCAGAGATCATTTTCCAGAAGACAAGGACAACACACCTGACAAGTCTTCCCAAGACCCATCTCATCACCCAGGATACAGCCATGCCGGACTTCGTAGCATTGCACCAGCCAGTTTACACCTTGTATTTGATAGGGACGAAGCTTAATGCCTGGGAATAAAAGCAATTTGTTACATTTACGCAGTCATCCAATACACTCTATACACAGTTACACCTTGAAGCCACCAGAAACGGGTCCTGCACAACTGGGCCATCCCAAACAACTGCCTTGCAGGAAAAGCACAACAGGTGTCAGCAAAGCTGGTTTACCCTGCCGGAGAGTAGAGACACCAGCAAATCCATTAACTTAAACCATATTCAGGAACTTGTACACACAAAAATGCCCTGAGTCGCTACAAAGGCCTCTACAAGGAACCTAATTGATAATTAAGCTGCTACTTTGCATTCCTAGAAGACGGCCTGATTTTCAGCTCCAGCCACTTTTTTACATATGTAAGTACTACATCCAGGGACACACTTCAGGTTACGGAAAATGTCTGTGACACTCTACCATTGTATAATAATAATTTCTCAACAAGATGTTTTCCAGCTTTCCTTCACTTAAGCTAGGACAGACCTCAAGTGTAGGTCACTCTAGCTACTACTACTGCTACAACCCTTATTATGAGGCACAATATATCAAAACAAACACAAAACAAGCCAAGTAGAAGTTCTCAAGATCTTTCCTTGTACATGGACTCAAGTGCTGTGTATTGTTAATAACGTTGTGCCATTGTCACCCTCTCGTCCCCGGGCAGAGGTGCACGCTGAGCACAAGAAGTAACTCCCCCTGCCGCAGGAAACAAGAAACCCGAACTAGCACAGGGACTGAAATATGGGCTCCCCACAGGGCAGCGGAAAGCACTTCTTAAAGCATTCAGGCTCAACATCGACCTGCTTTGGCGCTTATGAACGTTGCCCTGTTGACCTGCTCCTGAAGCACAGAGCCGTCTAAGGCTGTGCTGAGACACTGGAGCGGTGAAAGCTGGGCTCAGGGAGCCAAGCCCCTGGCCTAACCACCCACCCAACTGCAAAGCCAAGGAGAGCGTGACTGAAGCGGCCGGGGAAGGTTTGCACGGAGCAGCGAGCACGGCAGCAATACCACTCTCTGCAGCAGCTGTGGCTCACTTTTACAGGCCCAGACGCCGCCTTTATTTACACCTTCATTTATTTCAGGCCTGGGGGTTGTTAACACAGGGCCCAGACGGCTACAGCTGCACAGCACCGGGCAGCTGCAGGGCCCCTCCCGCGATCCGCTCACAGAAACCGACCCCCCAGCGCGCGTTACAGCTCCCTCACCACCCCTTCCCGCCGGCAGCCCCGGGCCT